TCTGTGGGAAGTTCTACGTCACAATCAGTCAATGAGTTCTTTGCCAATCGATCCTTTGTGATTTTGGAGCCCATATACACCATCATTGGTTTGGATTCAATGTTTTCCAACTCCTCTAGACAGACCAGCATGTCTATCAATCAGGTTGTCAGCGCGCCAGACAATTACACTAGCCCTTCCACCACCTGTTTGAGGAGCGTTCAACTGAATAAACAACATAGAGAATTCGTTGGAACACATTGACTAGACAACTTCAATACAGGTGTTAGCGTGTATACTAAATCCATGTCACACTCATCAAAACTTTTATCCTAGTTTAGACTAGTTAATAAAGCACTTATTAATAGGGAACACCCAAAAGTGAAAACTAGAGAAAAACAGATATAGGGAGAGAGAGAGACAGTTCGATTTCATGATTTGTTTGTCAGTAAAAAAGTACAACGTTTAAAAATCAATTAAAAGAAGGAAAACATGAAATCCACGAACAAACACAAGAAAGAGAGAAAGAGAGATGAGATCCAGTTATTACTGTAAGCTTAGAATTTGAACACGGTGGTACAATCTGATTCTGTATTCGACAAGTTCATTTGGTATAACACACACACACACACGCACAGTAATCGCACTGACTAAGGTATTCTACTCGAACTCATGAAGTCAGTCAGATGACAGCCTACGGAGAGTTACCATCGGAAATGATGTCCGTCAGAGATGTACTAATGAACTTCACCGTAACTTCTCTCATTTGAAACTCTCTTCTCTTGTTTTATGTGCTACATAAAGAGAGAGTGGCTACGCGAACTGTTGCACACCTGTGTAAAGTTCTGTGGTGGAACCAAAGTCAGTCAGATATGGTGTCATTAACTGGACGACAATTTCGAGTACAATTTGGAGCTTATAATCACATCAAAGTATTCAAACGACTTTCTAACTTCTTTTATATTACTTTTTTATTCCGTGTTGCTTCTAAATGTAATTTCCCATATAATCAAGATAGATATTACATCATTCCTATTGCATGTAATCGGTATTGATTCGATGAACAAAAATTCAGTAAAAATAACCTCATTTTATCCTATCTCACTAGGAAAAAATCTTTTTCTTTTGATAGAGTCAACATCAAATACGCACAAATGGAATGATGTTGCAAAACACCTATCCCACATACATGGAATATTATATTGCATTGACTTGACTCTTGTGGTTTAGTGAATTAATAAATAACACCTCAATGTGTAAAACGCTGGATATTCCGTTCGACACTCCATACGAACACCATCACTCACAATAAGGATGAAAGTATATTCGGATGATGAGTCGCAAAGTAGGACGAAACGCCCGTCCAAGATCCAACTACTATTAGACATCTTCAACCGTGTTAAATGATTTGATTAAATTAGTAAGTGAAATTATTTTAGTGAACAAACTGTAACCATCTTATGCTATTTACTTTGTTAATAGAAACTTTTCGCATGATTTGTACACACTTTTATTGTTCCCTTGAGTTGCCAGTGGGAAAATATCACATCTCCACTTCACTGCTTTTTGTTGTCATTCTATTTAGTGGATACAAAGATCGCTCACAAGCTCTCATCTCTTCCTCGCCACACGATCTCCTCCATGTTACCCTGGAACCAACGTCTAACTCGTCGTTTTACACTTGGATTCCACTCGAGAGATGGTCTGGAGCGTGATGTCACCTAAAGGTCTCTTCAGCGTGTGTCCAATCCATCTTGATTTTCTCCTACGTATTTGTTGAGCGATAGATTCCTGGTTGACTCGTCTCGCCAAAGCAAGAGTTTCTTGTTGCGACAAGGCTGTCTACTATCACCAATGATCTTCCTGATTGCAATCGATTGGATAATGCGACAGACAGACAACGGCAACCAACGAGGGAACAGGCATAAAATGGACTGACACAAAAAGAGACTTGGAGGGTCTGGATTTCGCCGATGATATATGTCTGATTTCCCACAAACTGGAAGATATGCAAGTGAAAAGCAACAAGTTGGCGACAAAAGAAGCATCAAAGATAGGACTTCAGGTGAACATAGAGAAAACAGAGGTGATGAAGATTCCTAGCCAACATCAACAACAACAACAGACAACAATCAGCATAAATGGGAGGAACCTGAAAGAAACAACCTCCTTCACCTACCTGGGAAGCATCGTCTCAACTACAGGCGGACGGAATTGACGAGGATATCAAAGTGAGGATCAGGAAAGCAAGACAAGCTTTCGTTACTCTCAAATCTGTGTGGAGGTCAACAGCACTCAGCATCAAAAATAAGATCCGAATTTTCAACTCCAATGTGAAGTCAGTCAGTGCTACTTACCATATGGATCAGAGACTTGCACTGCGCATCATAAAGAGCACCTCAAACAAACTACAGACCTTCGTTAACATCTTTCTCTGCTCAATACTCAAGATTAGGTGGTCAGAAAAGATCAGCAACAGGGATCTCTGGGAGCGGACCAATCAGGAACCAACTGTGAAACAAATAGGCAGAAAGAAATGGAGATGGATTGGCCATACGCTGAGGGAACCATCAAGTGACATCACTAGACAAGCCATCGCTCGAGGGGAACCCGAAAGGGAGGCGGTGAGTTGGTCGTCAGTGCAAGGGTGACCTGGAGGAGGTCATGCGAGGAGGAGATGAAAGCATGTGGACAGACCTGGAGCAGGGTGAAAAAGTTGTCAGACAACAGAAGGCAATGGAGGTGCTCAGCTGAAGCCCTATGTTCCTCTAGGAACTAAAGGATACAATAATAATAATAGTAATAATAATTCTTTCTACCCAGCTAGCCAGCTGGTCATTTGATCTTCAATATGGAGTAAACGAAGAAAGCTGTTTATAAAAATCTACTAATAGTCTCTTGGAAATGCTTTTCGTGACACTCAATGCAAGTGTCTGACCCCATATAGAAGCACTGACTGACTTCATATTCGTCGTGTTGAACAGAATTCGAAGATTTTCAGACTGATTTCAGTATGATGCAGGTGTGCTATGCCTTTTCAACTTTAGTTTTGACATCCTCATCAATGTCGCCGTCAATTTGTACATTACACGTCTCAAATGATGCTCCTTTTTGTAAAGTAGACGTAGTAACAATCAGTTTTCAAGTGATATGCGATGTTTTATGCTCCACTGAGTGACCAGTTAATTTCCTGTCATGTGTGACGAATGATTCAATTTCAAAAAAACTGTTTTAATTTGATGAATTACTCTGAAGTAATGTACTTCGAATTGGAGGTGTAAAAACTGTCGTTGTACCTTCTTTTACATTCTCTTTACGTTCTGAGTGCGATAAATGGCTTCAGTGTTTGTAATTTCAAGAGTGGGAAGGGGGGAGAGTTGCTTTTTTCCAGGGTGAGATAGCTATAACCTCACACCGAAACACTCCTCTTTTCCGGGAAGTTAATTACCGATTGAGTAAAAAACTAGACGAAGATAAGGAATGAGTCGGCGGAACCCCGGATGCGGACCTATCGTGTGGTACACACCCATTTTTTACCTTTGAGCCTAGAACTTTAGATATCATATTACTCAAGCTAATAATCCCCTTGTGATTATCACAGGAAGACTTGTCAACCTTCTTATATATGGGGATAATCAGTGACTTACTGATATGTATCCACATATATATATTTATGTGTGTGTGTGCATGTTGGTCTCTCTTTCTGTTTGCTCGGTTAGTCTGTGACCACTTCACTTGTATGAACTTGTCTCCTTTAATAATGTGTATTCTCCTTATATTATATTATATATAATATGAGTGTTTGTTGACAGTCCGTTGCTTGGTGACATATATCCATATATGTTTGTTGGTATGTCTGCTATATTCGCTATGTATAATTGGATCGACACTCCATTATAATTAGCCATTCATGTTAAGACTGTCTAATGATTTTTCCCACGCTTGTCTGAATTATTCATATATATTCGCATTCACAATTTTTGTGAACTACTTTACTTTACAACTACTTTACTTATTTACCACTTTGGTGTGAGACCATTTATTTTCGTCTCCTTGTGTTTGGACAATAGAAGTATCATCGCAAACCTAGTGGTCTTCTGATTTCCGCCTTCTCGCGTCAGGACTATTAGTTTCTCGACCAGTCCATAACAATAATTTAGCGACGAGTACATAACAATTTGGCGACGGGGAAACTAGTACATAACAATTTGGCGACGGGGAAAACTAGAACATAACACTTACACCGACTCGATGGGACTTCCTCTGATTCCCAGACGCTGCTTAGAACCTCAGTTAATGCAGACGATAAGATGTCTCCACCGTACTTAAATACCTCTGGAGTCATCCCATCAGGTCCTGCTGCTTTGCCTCGTTTCAGATTCATGATAGCCTTAGTAACCTGAGTTAGGGACGGAGGACCTGTGTTTATATCCTATTCAGGGAGGTGCTGGATGTTCGGTAAGCTGAGTGTGGCTGTAGGCTAATTAAACTGCTCCTTAAAGTATCCTTTCCAGCGTTCCAGTCGTCTATCCTGAGAGCTCATTATGGTGCCATGTATCTCGGAGATTCTTTCATTTATAATTTACCTTTCACCATCTGTTTCCCTGACAGGTCTAAATAGTTGTCTGGTGTTAACAATCACCGATGCCTTTTCCGTCTCTTTAGCTTTAGTCGCCCACCACTGTTCACGGTCGTTACGGAGACTTCTTGTTAATTTTCGTTTGAGTAGCTTTCGCTATTCATCATAATCGGAGCTCGCTGGAATCAGTCTTCTTGCCTTAATCACAGTTCGGATGAGGTAGTAGAAATCTACTGGCTCTTACTAACCTTTTGTTCAGATCAAGTGTTATCTAAATACCAGACAGCCATTCTGATGAACCAAGCTTATTATAAGTTCGCTCAATTTAGCTGTCTGACATGAGACAAACCAAGTACATTGTTGATGAGCTAGGCTCTTTAGGAAGCATACATTCTTGAATGTACAAATATAAATAATAGTGTGAAAAACGTGAATAACTTACTTGTAAAAGTAATATTAAATAGAGCAGAGATCTTCTTGGCAGGGGATTTAAACGTCTCACTAGTCGACAACATTTTTGAATTGGATTTAACTCCTCTTCATTTAACAATTCGGCAGTATCATTTTTCTCTTGAGACTCGTAGACTTCAGCTTCACAAGCAGCTTTCATACATATCGATTGTAGCTCTATCGGTATCAAGGGTTGACTCAATTCACGTAACCATAATTTCAGTAGTCCTGCAGCTAAATGAGACTCCATACTCCCTGAATTACCGCCGCCACTGCCAAAACCCGCACCAGTAGTTAATGCTGTCGTCGATGTTGACACTGACACTGATGCCATCGACGAAGACGTCAAAGATGTTGACCGTGTTGACCGTCTTATAATACTAGATAAATTCCTTGGCCAATAAGCTGTTGGTGTCAGGAGGACATATTCCGCTGGTGGTAGACTCAACGGTTCAGGTAATAAAGGCCAAGTGAATTCACCAATTAAATAATTCCAATCTAGACACGATGATGACGAGGATGACGTTGATGTGGCGGCTAATAGTGAAGAAGATTGTTGATGATGTTTTAAATCACCATCTGGATAATTGTCTTGATGATTCTCGTCTTCTGCTTCAATCACTTGTACTGATGTTGACCAACCTGGCGGTGGTGGACGATGAACAAGGAAACGACTATTCATCATCAAGTCATATTCATCACTATTCTGCTGTTGCTGTTGTTGTTCTGGATCACATAGTTGTACAACACGAAATATTTCAAATAACTTTTCTAGTTGACAACGTACTTCAATAAGAACATCCATATCTGGTGATAGGCTAATAATTAAAGAAGAAATGAAGTTACACATTATTCACGATTACTTTAAAAGAAGAGTATAGATAAAGTAGAGGACATTCAATCAAAAATTTCTGTGGTTGATAAAACGATGCTACTAAAGTACAGAGTGTGGTATGAGTTTAGGGGAGGGGGAAGGCTATAGGTCTGAATAGGGCGTGTGTACTGCTCATCAGTCCGCTCCATCCTCCTTTATGGCCAGCTGTGAGACCTGGCCATTGAGAGTGGAAGACATGAGAATACCGACTAGCTGTCTTTGATCATAGTTGTCTGCGTTCTATCTCCCGTGTGCAGTGGTATAATAAGGTGAGCAATATTGAGGTAAGGCCTCAGTTGAGTGCTAGGTAGGTGAGAGGGGAAATCAATCGACGAGGCTGTGAAATTACATCGACTAAGATGGTTAGGACATGTGTTACGTATTTCCAGCCTAGTCATCGCCTTCCTCGACGGGCAATCTTAGCTGACATAGGGTTAGGCTGAAAAAGAGCTAGCGGTGGTCAAACAAAAACATGGCTTCATCAGTCAATCAAATTCACAACAGTTAGTTTAATCCACGTAGGAAGGTGTAGACTTCCTGGTTGGGGTCCTTGGGACGGTAAAAACAATGGTTGGAAACAACTGGTGATATGGCTCAAAGTGATCGTTCTCAATGGCTGACGTAGATGCATCCACTCCATGTGACTTTTGATTCCCAATGAAACTATATTGTTCTTCGTTATTACTCTTCCTTTGTCTCACACCTCTGTTTACTGTCTCTATTATGCATTTCTTCTACTTTCTTCTGTTGCTTTGTGTGCTACATGGAGGAAGTATGGCGACTTGAAGTGCTGCACATCGGTGCAAAGTTCTATGTCAAAAACAGGCAGACAGACGAAGTCAGCTATCTAACAGGAAACCTTAGACTTAAGCGTTATAATACAAACTAGCCGCACTGATGTTCCTTGGGAGACTTGAACACGCGTCACTTGCTGCTGAAGTTACACAAACAATCTGACTCGATATTCAAATGATGGTTTGCAAAGATTTGATTTGTAACACGATTTTATCATGAGGTGACATCGGTTAGAGAAACATTGGGAAATCTGAGAGTATTGGACAGTTGTTTCTTTAGTCCTAGTTTAGGACTATTGAGCAGTACGCATCTCCACTAGAGCTCGAACCCAAGACCTTCCGGTTACAAGGCGAGTGAGTACCTTGAACATTAAGCCATTGGGACCGCATCAAATGACCAGTCTATGCATTCCAAATTCTGCCAATTCACGATATGGTGTGAACACCACCAACCAATGTCATCAGTGGAGACTTTTTGTCCTCACACCCGATCTACTGTACACTACAGATCACGATTTGCCACTAGAACTCAGGTAACTACTATTCCCGTTGATTGATTAAACACAGAAGTGTTTGGCCTCAGATTGACATGCCAACTCCTTGTGGAAATTCTTCGACGATATCTGATTACTTACCTTGAAACTACTAATTGCAATGGGTCCCAGATTCAGTGGTAACACTATCAATGATTTACTGGTGAATGCAGGTACATCCAGTTAGCTGACGAGTCTCAAGCAGGACGAAATGCACATCCTAGATTCACATCACTGCTAGTCAACCCCCCCCGCCACTAATTTACTTTAAATTTAAAAATCAGACATCGCGCGTCGAAGCATCTGCACAAGGAGCGCCGACATGTCAAAACTTGAAGCCAAGCAAGTTAGTCGAATCAATCAACAGGAAAGTTCAAATTGAATTAAACAGAGTAAAGCTGTTTAAAATTCTAGTTTCATTCATAATTCTATGTAATATGAGAGGCAGTAACTCATCGAAGCAGAAGACATTGCGAAATGGTCACGCTATGTCATGCGTGAATTAGCAGAAGTTAGAATTTATGGACTGGCCATTAGATTGGGTCCCAATGGCTGCCGAATGGTCTACGAGCTCGCTAGCCTTGTAATCAAAAGGTCCTGGGTTCGAATCCTAGCGAGGTGGGGTGGGTGTGTACTAATGAAGAGTTCCAAACTAGGACTAGAGAAACACCTATCCAGTACTCCCTGGCTGATTTTCCAATCGGGTTCTCTAACCAAATGTCAGCTCATGATGAAATCCTCCATGCAATCGAACAAAATCCTTACAAAAATCAATATTTAATAATATATATAAATATTTGACTAGTTCAATTACGCACACACACACCACATATCAGTATACCGCCATTGATCAAAGATAGATAACAGAGAATGACACTGACAATATGATCACGGAATGATGATTAGTGGTGGTGGTAGTACAGCATGAAACCACAGAAATGATGTTAAGGGGGGTGGGGTGGGGTATGAGAATATACAGCAACAGTCGAAGCATTTCCGTGGTGTGACTCATCTTTTCTAGTCTCACACCATATGAACTAATCCAAAAATAAAAGAGAGAGTAGGCAGGGTAGGCTGGCTGGCAGGCAATTCAAAATAGCAGACTAAAAGTCCTACATCCACCCACCCACACACACACACACACGATTTGAATATTGATGAATGCATGAATTAATCTTGAGAGTGAGTGAGAGAGAGAGAGAAAAAGAGATCAAAGAGTATTGAAACACCAAAAAATAACAACGAATTTTAGTTATTTTATTGCGTGAAATAGTGAGAATAATAAAAGCCGTTCACATAAAAAGACAAAGAGAGAGAGAGAGAGGCATAACACGACATGGCAAGTGTATAAACATTCATATACATATATATGCGCAAAAATTAATTGTGTGTGTGTATGGGGGTTATTTAGTGTTGATGTGTGTAGAGTAGGGCGATAGAATTTTATAAGAGCGCAAAAAAGGCATATTATCATTATTCTTTGGTCTGAATATAATTAGAAAGAGAGATGGATATGCGTGTGTGTGTGTGGGTGTGTATATATATAATCAACGACCGATGTTGATGGTGAGATGGTGGTTTTTACAATCCACAAAACAAATAATGACGACGATATGAGGATGATTCATTCTGTCAAGTCAAATTACAAATCAAATCACACAACAACAACAAAATAATAATAACAACATTAAAAATATAAACAAGAAGAGTCCGAATAGGACTCTTCATCATTCTATTTAGTATAAGAGAATGCAAGTTTTGCATTTATTGTGAGAAGAATATCAATAAATTTAAAGACTAGCATACGTGTTGTACCGTGTGCTTTCGGAAGTGTGTGTGGGCGGTTGTTACTTCCCGGCTGCCCACACCGTGGAAGTTGATTGATTCTTCGGGTACTTGAAATAGAGAGAGAGGGTTAGTGTTGCGTGACCGCAGAGCCCAGGGGACAACTGCTTGAGGCCGACCGGTCACACACGGCCTGTATGAACTGGTTTCTTCATTTGGTTCCGTATTACTAAACTTACCGCCGGTTACAGACCACCGTAGGGTAAGTCGGGATGTACAATTTTCGGGGTCGACCTTTTCTAACTCCCGCCTCTCTCCAGAGTGGGAGACAGCATAGCTGGGGGAACACTTTACTGCTGTTACATTCCTGTTCCCCAGCAGTACGACTTCACCCACAGACCCCCCAGCATAGTGTAAGGAAGATTCTTACACGATGCAGGTAACTGCTTTTAGTCTAATTGCTATCCTAACAACCTTCCTGGCATGGTAAGACCTGCAGAAACATATGTTCCAGCCAGTATAGCTTGTTGGATCATCGGGATGTGCAAACCCTACCACCACGACGTCAAGGTAGCAGCTATCGGTCGGGACGTGTTGTACCGATTTAAACACACTCCTTTATGACTGTTAGAAAGCCATTGAAAGTGAAAGACAGGAGAAGGCAGGTTAGCTGTCTTTGATCATAGGTGTTTGCATTCTATCTTCTATGTTGAGTGGGATAATAACGTGAGAAATATTGAGGTTAGGCATCGGTCAAGGGCTAGGTAGGTAGGTGGGAGGGGAAATTAACCGACGAGGTTGTGAAACAGCTGTATTGATTGAGGTGGTTAGAACATATGCCATCCCTAGTCATCGCCTACCTCGACAGTGGGCAATGTTAACCAATGACATAGGATCAAGTTGGAGAAGAGCTAGTGGTGGTTAGATCAAAACATGGTTTCATCAATTAGTGAAATCCATAACAGTTAGTTTAAGCCAGCTAGCCACGTAGGGAGGTGTAGACTGACTACAGCATGGAATGTAGCAACTCGAACTGGTGCACATCTGGGCAAAGTTCTAAGTTAAAATCTGTCAGTGAGTGTAGGTCATTCAAAAACTGGGTTTCCAATGTTTCTTCAACTGATCAACTGAGTGTCAGCATAGAACTTTGCACAAAAGTGCAGAAGTCTAGGTCACACTTCATATACCACACACACACACACACATAAGGAAAAAGAGAAAAATCGAAAGATATATACAGGATAAAGAATAGTTACACAGAGAAACATGAAGACTTAATGAATTTAGGAGATTCTAAAGAGCGTCATCTACAGAGTTCAACTATTAATTCTTGGCGGTCTACAGGACTCCAATCAGACAGTCTACAGTTCCATAAGTGGCTGGCTTAAAACCAATAGTCAAAGAGACTTTATGAACTCATGTCATATTTTGATTTCACCAGTCTTAAATCATCTTTTCCAATCTAATCTTATCGTGGCGTGTACTACTGATAAGATTTATCAGTATTATATAGAAGGACGATTCATCGGCATAAAAACGGCAAATATCCGGGAGATAGATTTGATGTCTGAGAAAGAAAATGATACAGCATTGTGCAGATACATGGAAGAAGTGAAAAGAACACACAGAAACGCAGTATGAAGAGAGGCCAAAACACGGAAGATATGTGCTGAAGATAAGGTGTACATGATTTAGCGTGTCATGAAGAGCACCTTAAACAAACTACAGAACTTCATCAAGAGCTGTCTTTGCTCAATACTACTTAAGATCAGACGACCGGCCAGAAAAGATCAGCACCAGGGATCTCTGATAATGAACGAACCAACCCAGCG